ATAAGAACAACACTTTGCTTTTGTAGAACGAATTGTATTATGGAAATTTACATCAACATAACATCATAGTAAATCAAGAAATAGGGGAGAAGTGCCTGCCGCACATATTCTCTCACCCTGTATATATACCTGTCGACAGCCCAATATAGTTAGGCTTCTATTAGGCATCCATTAGGCTTCTATTAGGCACCCAAATAATAGGGCCTCCTACTACCTAACATGATTAGGCCACCATTAGGTGTCGGGCACCAAGTTATAGGGCCTCTTACCACCTAACATGATTAGGCCTCTAAGACACCCAATGTTATTAGGGCGCCATTAGGCTACCTATAGCTAGCGATAAACAAAAATTTACTCTAAGTATAAAAGTTAACTACTTAAGTCTACTCAAATAGAAAATCGTATATTATGAAATAAAAAAACACTACAGTACCTCCTCCCCCTGCCTGTTGGATGTGCGAATGTGGAGACAGGAGGTCGCCTACCCTGATATATTAATAAGGAGATCAGAGGTTAGGTACTGTCTTAAATAGATACTGTTGCCTTACATGGAATAATAATATCATTAGGGAGACCACAGGTCACCCTACGTAATCCATTGCTGTATAACATATTTTACAATATATTGCAGTCAATGTTGCTCCCTCTGTATCTTTCCTCATATCAGATGATTATTCCTTTGACAAAAATAGATTTTCTGTTTGTTGTTTTACACTGTAAAAGCTTCACAGTAGTGCGATTTATTCTATTTTCACTTTAGGTTGCAGTGCACTACATTTTGTCGCGGAGTAAACAGGTTTGATAGTTGTGAACTGAGCCGGTGACCTAAGGTCCTAGTTGAGCGTACGTTTTATCCTTCTGCCTACGAAGCTCTGGTGCTTGTAAAATGCTATCGCTTGTGTTGCTTTGTTTTTGTTTGTTCTTGATGTAGTTTAGTGTTTCTAGAGCTGTTGGTAAGCCATATTTGATTAAAATTTTATTCAATTTGATAAACCAGCTTTGTTAATTTATCAATTTAAGTTGTATGATAGAGACCTGATGTTTCTTGGTTTGCTACTATTCTATGAAAAGCTGAGAGATATCGTTTATCTATCATTATTTCTTTTAGTATTTTTTTCCTATAATAAGTATGCTGTTGATATTACTGTAATATCTGGTAGTAACTGTAGCATCCTAAAGTTCTTTCTTTGTTCTAAGTCTACTTGTTTTCTGTCAGTTTTCCTGTCTATGTGTATCGGTAACGATCCTCTAATAAAACTAATGTTTAAATATATAAGTGTATCTCATTTCCATTCTCAATGATTGTGAAGTGTAGGGCGGCGCCGCGAGAATTCCATCGGCATCGAAAGCAAGTTTTAAGACTTGCCTAGATAGCCGAGCGGTCGCGCGCTGTTCCTGTACGTACTGCTAGGAGACAGATTCCGTAGGTCGAGAGTTCAACCCCGGGCGGAGGCGGAAGTGGGTATCCTTATAAAATGTGAATTTCTTTGTGCTTTCTCTCTCTCTCTCTCTCTCTGTATATATCATGGACATTGTCTCAATTTGGCTGTGTTCCTAAATGGACTACCTGATCCACCCAAATGTCATTCCATCTCATTGTATGTTCATTTACTGTGGGTGTAAGCCATTGCACGTTTGAAAGGGATTTTTCTAACAATCTGCAAAAGTCGGTGATGTTATGTTGAAAGTTCCTATTGTTGGTCCCATATTCATTTCACAAAAGAAATGTAGAAAACCATTGTTGAAGCGTTTGTACATAATAGATAGTTTTGCCCTTTTTCTTGCTCAATCTCTTAATTTTTCCTTTGATATATCTAAATAACGTAAGTTGTATTGTCAGCAGTTTGAAAAGAACATCCTGATTCTACGCACAAGTACTCTAAAGCTAATATTAAAATTTTTTTTTAGTTCCTCATTGACAACATTTATCTAGTCTTTGGAGATCAGGCCCTAGGATCATTAGGCAGTCTTAGACTTAAGCCAGAATTTGTAAATTATCTTAGATATTTATGATAGAAATCACATGAAGTTTGAAATGTTATTAATTCTCTTTCATGCTGTTAATTTTAATTTTCAAAAATCAGTTCCTATCAATATGAATAACTGAAATTTTGACTGAAGTCTAAGGCTGCTTCATGACCCTTGGGCAAGGTTTTCAAGAAATGTGTTAGAATTCTTATGGGTCTAATTGTGCCCCATTACTGGCGGACCCATTTTTGTATGAGAATTAATTCAAAAACTTTACATGAAAAGAAAAGCCTTCAATTCAACATAACCGGCCGCATTATCCTAGTGGTAGGTATGCTGTGTGATCGGGAAGTACCGTGTTTGATTCTCGTTCCCAGCGCCGCGTCAAACCTAAGACATTAACATAGGTTGTGATTGTTCCTTCGCCAAGCGTCCGGCATTAGAAGTGAAAGTTAGGGTTTTTCGGATGAGACCTTATAAACCGATCGAGGTCCCAGGTCACGGTAGGTGTTGGCATGATAAAAAGAATATTAGTACTTACTGCTCAATGGCTGTAAGTCAGAGTATAGGTCTAAATTTTAAGCCCTTCACCGGCATACGGGACTCACTTTATGAGTGAAAAAAATCTTGAATGGGACGTTAAACAACATACAGTCAATCAACTGGACATTAAGATATATCGGTGAACGTTTATAATACATAATTAATGAACAATTCTGTCTCCTCATTTTTTTTAAATACGCTGATTCGATATATCCAATTGAATTTGAAATAAACGAGATCCTGCGGGGTCTTGCACATCTGCTTCATATTTGGATATTTGACTAGAAAACTAACAACTAAATTTTATGATAAACGTGAACTTCAACTTTTCTATCGTCAACTTCCCCTATTGATGAAGCAAAATACCATTGCCACCTGCATATGGGGCTTATTTCTCCAAACTGATTTGATACAGGAGCTCAACTTCTAAACCAAGGCAGAATGCTGACAAGTAAGTTGATGATAAAAGGGTATCTACAATCCCATTTACAGTCAACATTTCGAAAATTCTATGGTCGAAACAATGACCATGTTGTTCTTAGGTCGAATGTTGACTGAAGTCTTTCATATAAATATTGTTAGGCCATTTTTTTTCCATATTTAATTGACTTTGGATTTCCCCGTTTACCCGGTCATGACAAAAGGCACACAGCAGGGGATGCTTACTCGACAGGGGATGCTTACTCCTTCCCTCCATGGCAGATGATCCCACCTCTAATGTTTTCAGAAGTTCGTGTTTACTCTCCTCACGACTTGTGTTGTTTTATTGGACTTTACAACATGGTTACTGTTCGTTTTCTTCACATTTCATAGAAAAGTGATCATCTCGTTTGTCATATAGTTCAATTGTTAGTTGGCCATTATCGTCTATCATCCAAATGTGAAACAGATGTTGCGAACTCTGTAGTGTCTTTTATTTCGAGTTCACCGTGATACATGGAGTAAACAACTTTATTTAATTGATAAAACTTTGTCGATAGATCTAAATGTGGGGTTGAAAGCAGGATCTTTCTTGTTCTCGTGCGGAAGTTTTGAATGAAGCCTGCTTCACAGGAATATAAAAACAGGTCTTCTATTAAAGGCGCACAATAAGTTCCCAGTGAAAATCCAACAGAATGTTGGAAGACACGATCTCTAAAGACTAAGTAGATATTATCAGATGTACTCAGGCATCTTTTTAGTATCAAACTCAGGGTATATATGTCAAAATGATTTTTAACTATAATTTCTAATAATCAGTCACAAGAGAAGAAATTCCTAAATTTCATTTTTCTTCAAGAAAGTTTAATCTTTAATTTAATCGTGAGGAATGTTTGTATAAAGTGTTGAAAAATCATACGCTTTGATGTAACTGTCTTAAAAAATTGCGATTTTAAAATTTTTAAAAGTTTAAAAGTTTGTAGGAGTTTTTGAAAATCCATATTTGATTTACACTTCATGAATATGTTGTAGCATAATGAGTGTGAAGTTTCTCTTTTACATCATGATCAGTGAATATTTTTGTGAGGAGTAATAATAGGGGCTAGGTAGAGCAGATAACCTGCATGTATCTTTGTAAGGACTTTCATGAAGTTTTAGAATCCAGTATAGGTAGGGTAAATCGTTTTTCACTTCCGTTGTTTGGAATATCAAAATTGGGGCGTGGTTTTTCAGGAATTTCATCCTTAGAAAAGTAAAATGTGGGAATATCAATAGGATTTCCAGAATAGAATTAAAAACTAAGTGATTTAAGCAAATTGGTTACTAGATGTCCTTGAGATGTGTAGGTAAATCAAAGCTATGCTTCGATATAAATTTTGATGTTTTAGATATCTGAGTACACGTATTGATTTTCCCGTTTTAGCTTATCTGGTAATACTGCATTATTGCGTTCATTATCATGGTAAGTACTGAGGACATTTCATTTTTGAAATGCTTCCACGTAGTCCTGCATAATAAGGAGCTCTCCCTCTCTTCGAGTTGATATCATTTTTGACACAATTTTCACTTACCGTTTTTTTTTTTGTTTTTTTTTTTAATCTTTTATTAAAGCTTAACACGACTCGTAAATTGCATACATTTTTTTCCCATCTCATATATCATCTCTGGGTATATACCCTTCACATTCGTTACACCTGATTGCAAACTGGAAGTCATGGCCAACGTGTGGCATTCTTGTGTTGTCTTACCGTTTACATTTTTATTTCACCATTGTTTGTTCGTAATGCACTTATCTGTGCAATTGAGGTTACTTTTTCTTCTGGCGTTGTATAGTTGCATACATTTGATGATCGTTATCGTATAGAAACAATGTCGATGTAAAAAGACTTCTACACAGATGAGATCTGTACAGCGAGATACTTCGAATCGTTAAGAAAAGTCCACTAGAACTTCAAAGCACCTTTTTAGTATATAATAAAATTAATTTGAAGAATATAAATGCAACACGTTTTCATACATGCTGTTCTTAGGAAGAGAACTTATTTTCTCCTTTTTCTCTTCCTGCACAGGGTTTGACAACTTCACCACCGAGGAAGAACATGACCATTTCCGCCAGCTTCAAAGGTTTACCTTTTAAACACTTTCCTTACAATATTTATTGGCTAAAAAATATTTTTGTTTTTTATTCAAAAATACATTTTCATAACCTATACTCTTCTTTACTTCAGTTTGAACACATTCAACAATCCAGAAGAAAACTGACAAGCAGTACTTTCCTGTACATCTACATGTACCAGCATATCCTTCCAATGGGACAAATCACATTACTGTTGAGTTAGCCTTGAAAATAAATCATCTTGGCACTAAAATGGTTTCCAAATTCACAGATCAGTACCTTAAAACTTGGCAGATTAACATGGACATAATGTTTCATGTGAAACGAGCGAGTGTTTGCAAAACCATCAGGATTTTAAATCATTTGTGAGTAACCATAACAAAATAAAATGACTAAATAAGAAATGAGTGTACAGTTTTATTTATAAAATGATAGAGGTCACAGTATTAAACATATAATGAAGTCACAATACAACCATCAAGCTACTGGCCGGGAAGTTTTCAAAGAACAGATTTCTTGGTAGAGGAAGAGAGGTTCAGACTTGGTTTACTGGAAGGAAAAGGCAGAAAAGATGGAATCTTCTGGTAAAGAAAGCTTGTACACTCATACAAAATTTAGCAGCATGATGATCATAATCTCTTCCACACAGTACAGAGATAATTTCTAGAAAAGAATGCAATCCGAATTTTCTCTACAAACTACCTCAATGGGATCACAATATATTAAACAGAGTGATCAGAGCAGCAGTTTATACTAAAAGAAAGAGACTATAACATCAATGAGAGTTTTTCTTATAGAAATTTGTTTAACTAGTATATGCCAAAGCAAGCTCATATTTGAATGGCGAATACATTGAGTAAGGTATGTGATTTTAAGCTACGTCTTTGGTTTTGACTACAATTCTTTGAATTTTATATAATTAAGAAAGTTAAAAAAATTGTAAGTACATTTTCATTTGATTAAATTTTGGATTCCCTAATTATGCAATCATAAATATATAAATCTTGTCTAAAAAAAAAAAATAATGCCTGCTCAAGTGTCGAAAAAAAAAAAATTAAAAAATTAAAAACTGCAAATATAACAAAAAAGCATTTCACAACAACTGCACATAAAAATGTTAGACATGTATCATGAAATTCATATCATCTTATGAAGACATTTTAAAAATATAAAACAATAAAACACCATCAGCTAAAAAAGCAGTCAATACACAGTTCCAATATTATCAAGGTTATGAATTGGTGTGCATTCTTTATCCCAACCCTACAATTCTAATTGATGATTACTAACTTAATTCTTTCTTCCCCATGATTCTTGTTCTCAATTATTGCTTTAGGGGATCTTTGTGAGACTCTAAATCTCCACATCTCGGTATGGAATGGTTTCCACTTCAGGACAACACAAATGAATAAATGGTATAGTTACAAATACTTACATGGTTTATAAGTAGTGGTACAGTGGCTACAGTACAGAATCATTCAAATGCTACAAAAAGTTCCATTTACAATGATATTCTACATTAACAAAGAATGATTAGGGACACATATAATGCAAAGTGGTGTTATATACAAACACTGTATAATAAATACATCTGTACAATCACTACCTTGTCTTTTAATTTTGTAGATTATAACCTGTTATTTACTTTGTAATGAGTATGTTATCCAAATTTCATACAATCACCATGTTATCAATGAAATCACAGTTTTTGTTTACAACAGTTAAGGCTTCACCCTGCAAATAAGAGTTACACTCAGTGGAATGAATTTGTTTATAAATTTGTAAGTTTTTGGAACAGTTTCTGAGGTTTTTATTTCTTGACATTGGTATTCAGTTCAAAGTATTTGTAGGTAGGATTTTCATAACCATTCATCTGCATTTTAGCCACATGACGTTCTTCTGGCGAGGCTGCTGGATCCATTTCAGCAAATCCATGAGTGACTGCGTGTCTATGGGAGCGCTTCCGCAACATGACAATAGCAACAATAATAATGACAAATACTGCTACACTTCCGATGGCAATTCCGAAAACACTGCTTGTGGAAGTTGCAACTTGTGAAGAATAACTTCCCTAAAAACAAAACCAAAAAACTGATAAATAAATAAATCATCACCTTTTCATCTTTTTGGTTTGCTAATTTTCTCCAGATATTTTTTTTAAAGAATGAAGAACTACGCACGCTAACTCTTGATTCCCACCTACATTTTACACCCATTTAATAAATTACTAATGGCAATTTGGCCATAAAATCTTTGTTGAATGCAAAGAACAGTTCCATGGTAATTGACTGATAATTTTAATACCAGTGTTAAATAGTTAATTACCCCAAATTCCACCTCTTTGAATAAGGGGGGTTGGGGGGGGGGACGATATTTTTCATTGAAATCGGGCTTTAAAGCATCACCACATTTTAAAATATTACTGTATATGAATAAATGTTCCTTAAAACTTTTCTTATGTTTTACTCATATAAAATTAAACGTTTATTATTAACAAAATACAATGTTTTAGTTGTAAACCCCTTTGATATTGATGAAAAAATAAGCATTTTTGTAGTTTTTTGTCTTTAAACGTATGTCCCCCCCCCCCCCCCCCTCCCTGAAACACAAAAAGCTTTGGTATGATTTTGTGAAATGACAGTCCATATTACCTATAAAAAGGAATTTTTGTTTCAAGGGGGGGGGGGGGGATGTTTTAAAAATATTTTCCATTTTCCGTTGATTTCTATGGTGAAAACACAAGTTTTACCCATATTACAGAGTTATCTCTCTTTGTTTTCCCAAAAAAGTAATGTTTTATGAAAATTCATATAAATATCTATATAGAAATGAAAAATCATTCAAATATATTAACTTTTGAAAATTGACCTGGAGGTAGGCGGGAGAACAATACTATCGTTCACAGTTCTTTAAATAAGAAAATGAAACTCCATTGAACAGATGTTCAAATTAATCAAAATGAAGTGCAGAAATCTTCCTCATCAAATACATATTGGATGCAATAAAATTTTTTAAATTTTACTCAGGTCAACATATTGATTTGGTATCTTAAAAGCTGACAGTAAAAGAGAAGAGATTCTCATTTACTTACCCAACTGAAGCTGGGAAGGTAAGAAGATAGTGGTAAATACCTACCTGACTGAAGCTGGTTTGGTTGTTTAGAAAAGATACATGCATCTACTTACCTGTTCATTTTGAAGAGATTCACATCTAATTACTGTAAACCAACTTTGTTTTGCATGTGAGAAATATTCGTGAGTTTTGCAATGTACTCCAACTTGCGAATATTAATCGCCGCGAACCATTCATTTTGCTTTGTATTTTTTTGAGAATGTTTCCCAAGTCGCAAAAATCAATCGTCTTGGACTGATTTCAATCGGACGAATCGCGAATAAAAGATGACACGAATAATAGTTGGTTTACAGTATCTAACTTGAATAAGCTTGGACTTTTAAGAGATTACTGTAGATTCCTAAAAATACGCGAGGAATAAATTATCACGTAATTACGCAAGAAGCACCACTCACGAAATAAAATTACTCACTTTTATTTTTATGGTGCTTTAATGTATGTAAAATCTCTAGATAAATCACCCATTCGCGAATTATTTTTCTCGCGATTTGACGCCCTTTAGCCATTTCGCGATATTAAGTACTCACGTAAAATAAGGAATCTACAGTACCTTATCCCATAGAAGAGATCCACACTTACTGATGGATGTTTGCTTGGTTGTTTAGAGGAAGCAAATATTTACTTACCCGACTGAAACTGGCTTGGTCATTTTCACGATGAGAGATGAAGACCTTGTTTTCCTCATGCTGGTCAAGCTCAATTCGGGGACTGAGTCCATCATCTTCCACAATCGGAGTTTTCTTGACTTCTTCCAGATGATCAGACAGGTCACCATCATCGTTCTCATCATCCAAGGTCACTTTGTCACTCCAGGTCACTAAAAATACAACGGTCATCAAAACAATCTTTAAAAATACTTGTCTATCTGAAATGTTTATAATGTATATATATGAGGGGTTATCAAAAAGTTTGTGGACTAGTGCCATAAAATTAAATCCGCTTGAGGTACATCAATATTTTTTTTTCACATTCAGTTAGCATCATCTTTTCTTTCTATAGAATAAACAATAAATCATGAGTTTTTATTTTTAATGAATTGTTGCAATGGCCTGACCAGGCGGCGCAACCTCAAAATACAACGTATTTCTACCCAAGTCTAATGCAGAAATACATTTTTTATCTGAGCATTTGTCATCCAATAATAATGTTAATTCACTCATGATACCACTCAATTTTTCTGTAAAATTTGCAATTTTTACCTCATTCTGTAAGTTCTATGAAATGTTATAAATTTTATATAGAATGCTCTAATCCAGATGTTAACAAGATGTGTTTGTGAACACTGATGCCCCCGTATGGCAGCTTATGGTGAAGGTTAAAGTTTCTCAAATGCAAGTCAAAATCCAGGCCAAAAGATAAAAAATGTTAAATTTGAAAGCCCTAGCTGCAACTGTTCAAAAGTTATGGTGAAGGTTAAAGTTTTTTAAATTTAAATTTAAATTTAAAATTGTCACAAGGATTACATATGTGAAGTATGAAAGCCCTAGCACCAACCATTCAAAAATTATGGCCAAGGTTAAAGTTTTTCAAATGTAGGTCAAACTCCTAGGTCAAGGTCAAAAGGTCAAAGTGGTTGGTATCCAAACGAAGGTCTTGTCACAAGGATTACATATGTGAAGTATGAAAGTCCTAGCTCTAAGTAGGTCAAACTCCTAGGTCAAGGTCAAAGAGGTCGATATCCAGAGGAAGGTCTTGTCACAAGGAAAACACATGTGAAGTTTGAAACCCCAAGCACCAACTGTTCAAAAGTTATGGCCAAGGTTAAAGTTTTTCAAAAGTAGGTCAAACTCCAAGGTCAAGGACAAAAATTTCTAATGCCCAACATAATTTATTTTAAAAATATAACAAGGGAACTGCAAAGAAGGAATTCCCCTAGCAAAACGGAACGATGATTCCAATATAAATAACTGATTTTGTAACTTCTGTAACACATGCATGCACTCACCCCTCCACACTCACAAGCTATAACTCCGTTGAGATGGGGAAAAAACCCTAACATTAATTTATAATTATATTACAATATTGTCTGCTATTTAAAATGCTTAACTGTCATGGCTAAAAAAATTGTAACTGAATGTGTAATTACTTGGCCATGACCACAAAATCATCCAGAATCTGATCATTTGAATCAAAAGTGAAAGTGTGTCATAAAAGTAATATTAGCCTTTTTGGAATCCA